CAATCCCAGGAACTGGGAATTATGATCTGAGCTGAAGGCAGATGCTTAACCAACTGAGCCACCCAGGTGCCCCTGAGCCAAAACACTTCTGAAAAAGAAGTGAGGGGTCTCACCCTACCAGATATCAAAATTTACTAGATAGCTCTAGTAATTGGGGAAATGGGATGTTCACACAGGAATAGACAAACAGGCCTATTTGAAACAAATGAAACAAGATACACCTATATAGACATTTGATGTATAACAAGATCACTAGATAGGTAGTGCTGGGATTATTGTTGACTACCTGAAAAAATATATATACACAGAAGCCATATAAAATAATCAATTAATGATAGATTGAAGACTTAAATTTGAGATTTTTGTATTTTCAGAATAAAATACAGGAGAATATCTTTTTGGCTTTCATGTAAAAGAGGTTTTCTACAAAAATGGAAAGAATATGGTAAACATAAAAGTGAATATATTGATAGTAAAATTAAGAACATCTGTTACACCATTAAAAAAGAGCAAATATAAGGCCAAGCTTGTTTTTGCAACATCTCTAGTCCACAGAGAATTATTATCCAGAATATGTAAAGCTTCTGAAAGTTATTGAGAAAAAGACAGTAAAAAAAATGAGCAAAAGATAGAAATAAATACTTCCCAAAAGGGAAAATACAAATGATGGGTAAACACTTGAAAAGGTGTTCAGCTTTATTATTTAATCAGGCAAATGCAAATTAAGACAATAATAAAATCTTATTTTCCATGCTAGATTGTCAAAAATTAAGAGGTTTACCAACTGTTCTGCAGATGTGGCTCAAGGACATTGATACAACCAGCTGATGTGGAAAACAATCATTACCATCTAAAGTTGAATATTAGTATGGCCCAAGACCCAGAAATTCTACTACTAGGTTTATTTATTCCCTAGAGAAACTCTTAAACACTTATAGTTATACTGGGAGACTTATGAAATGAACATTAGGGGCAGCACTGTTCATAATAGAAGAAGAAGAAGAACCACTTGATCTTCTACGTAGCACAGAAATTATCAAAGACACTCTTCTGCAAAGAATCATAGAATTGTCCATGATTCCTGACAGCACCCAATTTAGAGCAAAGCTCTACTTCCTAGAACCCTCCCAAAATCACCCAGTGAAAGCCCAAATCCTATAATAGGTTCTTTCTAACACCCTAGTGAGGTTTTTACTGAGTTAAGTGCCTCTTACTGAGACACCATACGGTTCCCCATGGTGTGCACGCTCCTTAGCAGTAAGGAGTAATAAATCCCTTATGTTCAATAACAAGTATGCTCCAGGTGGTCTTTGGCTGGAAGGCACTGACAGGTTGAACACAAAGTACAGTAACTGATCTTCTTCTTGGACATGTTTGCAGCCGGTTAAATGTTGATGCTAGCAGCCTTGAAATTTCCATTTGATACAACCTCCAATGTTTGATCTGGGATGACCCATATTCATTGGTGTTGAAAAGGTCAAGAAACTATAGGGTTGAGTGTATTAAACGTGATTCCCCCATGGACTTCGAAATTGCCCATGACGTCGATAGGACCAGAACTAGGGAACAGATGCTGTGCAAGTGAGGTAGTATCAGAGCAACTTTTCCATTCAGCTTAGAGGAGACCATTACTGTCTCCTCTCCTGACTCTGTTTCCCTCCAGCCATTGGTGTCCAGCAACAAAAATGAGAATTTGGAGATTGGGACCAAACGGACTTAAGCAAAGAGGAGAAAATAAAGCAAAACAAGAAAGCCAAAAGGGCAGGATCTCAAGACCAAAAGAGTGGCCTATGGGTAGCTGGGGCTAGCTGGGACTGTGTTGGTCAGGGCAGGGGTATGGCATTCCCAGAGCACTCAAGAGATAATTAATACGCACCTAGTATTTTTTTTTAAGATTTTACTTATTTATTCATGAGAGACACACAGAGAGAGAGGCACAGACACAGGCAGAGGGAGAAGCAGGCCCCATGCAGGGAGCCCTACATGGGACTCGATCTGGGGTCTCCAGGATCACACCCCAGGCCAAAGGTGGCACTAAACCGCTGAGCCACCCAGGCTGCCCCACACCTAGTATCTTTTAAGTACTTCCACATCCTCTATCCATAAACCTCACACAAACATTTTACAGATTAGGAAAGTGGAGTCAGAGAGGTTATGTGACTGACTTATTCAAGGTATCTCTGCCGGTGAAATTAGGATCTACGCTTAAGTGTAACTGACTTCAAATCCTACCTGAGTTCATATATTTTGCCCTACCAGCTTACCCAGCAGGGACCCCTGGCTGCATTTTCAGAAAACATAGAATAAGAAGCCAGAGGAGCCAGGAGCCAGGAGCCAGAAGTGAAAAATCATGTCCCCTGGAGGGGGGAATTCCTCTTCTCTCTCTCCCCTTTTATAAGCAACTAAAAAATTACTCACAAAAACACACAATTCTAAAATTGGGAGATAAGGGAAGATGCTATGTAAACTGGCCACTGGCCCTGGAGCAGATCTTCCTCGAAATAACTGGAGACAGCTCCCATTGACTAACCTCATCCGCATGACTCATGCAGTCGGCTTTTCCTTAAACGTGTGGAAATGAGACAGTACGGATGCTGTGAGGCCAGTGCTGGAAATGAGCACTGTGATTTCTAGGAGACCTCCAGACACACCTTACTGTTGGGAAGTCGCCTTGGCCATCACCCCATGGATCCCTGAGTGCCCTGGACACTTGGGCTGAAGGGGGAGAGTCCTAATGTCCCCCAGGAACAGCCCAGTTCTTAGCACCTGGCTCTCCAGAGTCTGGGAAGGGAGGCAGGCATGCTGAAGGCAATTCCAGGGGTGAGGCATGTGGCTGTGGGGTAGGGGCAGCTCCTCAGGCTGCTGCAGCCTCCCTCGGGGGCTCTGTTCCTGCAGTTCAGCACTGGCACCTCTCCTCACTGTGGACCTGCCCATCCCCACTCAGCTGAGGACAGGGCCAGCCGCAAGTTCCCACTTTGGGCCCCCTGCTTGGTGGGAAGCCTGCTTCTCCCTCTGCCTACTGCTCCCCCTGCTTGTGCATACTCTCTCTCTCTTTGTCAAAAAAATAAATAAAATCTTTAAAAAAAAAAAAAAGACTAGGGATCCCTGGGTGGTGCAGCGGTTTAGCGCCTGCCTTTGGCCCAGGGCACGATCCTGGAGACCCGGGATCGAATCCCACGTCGGGCTCCCGGTGCATGGGGCCTGGTTCTCCCTCTGCCTGTGTCTCTGCCTCTCTCTCTCTCTCTCTCTCTCTCTCTCTCTCTGTGTGTGTGTGTGTGTGACTATCATAAATAAATAAAAATTTAAAAAAATTAAAAAAAAAAATTAAAAAAAAAAAAAAGACTACTGATAGCAGGCGGTCGGGGGTCAGATGGGCTTGGAGGCTCTGGACCTGGGAAAATCCCCAGTTGGCAGTAGGCACAGTAAGTCTATCCATCCCACAACATCCTTCCTTGTCTTGTCCTTGGATGACTTAGGTGTCCCCATGAACAGCCCCCTTCGTCACTCTGGCCTCCCAGATCCTTGGCCCCATAAATTCTACTCCCCTCTGCTGGGCACACATATGCCCATGCTCCTGCCTCAGATTTTGCCCTTAGCTCCTCCACTTCTCAAATACCGACCGGACTCTGCTCTCTAACTCCAACTCCTATCCTTTCCAGCTTTATCACTGTGTTACTCTCACTCTTTCTATTCTTCACCCACTGGAAGGGCCCCGCTTGCAGAGACTAGGGTGTTCTCTCCCAGTGATGGTCTTTATCAGTCTTGGAGTGAGGGAGGCCTAGGGCTTCGGCTGGGGCTGGCACTGAGGCCAGGCTAGGAAGGGAAGGGGGAGGAGGGAGGGAGGGAGGGAGGGAGGGAGGGAGGGAGGGAGGGAGTCAGCTGCCTTAGGGGCCCCACAGAGGAGCTGGCCAGGCACAATGTGGAACAAAGGCTGGACACTCTTCCGCTGAGCCCCAGCGCCTGGCCTTGGCCTTCCGGGAACAGCTCCAGGAAATGGCTGAGATTCCAGATTTGGGAGGAAGAGACCTGTAAACAGGAGCTGGGCTCTGAGAGGGGAGAGCAGCCTCTCTCTGGGGGAGGGGGTGGGAGGAGCGGCAGGGTGAGCAGGTTCAGAAGCAGCAAGGCTCCCTGTCTGCTGTAGACACAAGCTTCCAGGGCTTGGAAAGACCACCTTTCGGGAGCCTGAAGACTATCCCTGCTGAGGATGCTCAAATAGTTCGGGTGATGGCATGAGCATAAAAACAAATCAATAACAACCTTGGCCAACCCTTGCTGATCACTTAGAGTGCAATAGGCACTGTTCAAAGCGATTTCAGGCACAAACACATCTCATTCTGACTCCAGGCCTCAAGGTGGGGATTATTACTATTAGTCCTACTTTACAGATAAGGAAACCAATTTGCAAGGATGAAGGAACTCGGCCAAGGTCTCACACAGCTTATTTCATTTGTCTCCAAGCTGACTGTGGGCACCTCCCAGCTTGTCCCAGAGCCCCTAAAGCCTCCCCATCTTCTGTCTTGCTCACCCCCCGCCCCCTCCCCCCTCTCCCCATCCCTGGGGAGACAGGCTGTGGGATGACTACATGTCCCTGCTTCCCTCCCCCTGGCCACCTTGGCTCACTTTTCTCTACCCTCAGCTTCTTAATGCCGGGCCCTGACACTCTACCGCGGGTCTCCATTCCACTCTAGCAGGAAAGTGCTTAGAGCCAAGCGACCAGAACTGGCATCAAGGTTTAAACAGAGGCTGAGGGCTGCATTTGGAATCACATCAGTGTCAAGATCACCTTTAGAAAATCCCAGACTGGACCACAAGGTAAACCTTAGGGCTGGAGCTAGAGTCAGGGGTCATGACTAGAGGGTCAAGGGCAGAGAGTTTCTCTCTGCTGGTCCCCTCCCAGTTCTCCAAGGCACGGAGGGCCAGGCAGGAAGCATGGGTTTCCTCAAAGCTGCTTCCCTCCTAGGGCAGAGTCTCAGTCACAAACAACCACCACCACCCCACCCCGCCCCTCCTTCCCTCTGCTGTGAGCTCAGAGCAGCAGGACAAAGTGCCTGGGACAAGGATAGAGGCCCAAGAGCAGCCATGGGCTCTGGAGGAGCAGGCCTCCTTGGGCCCCTGGGGCCCCTGCCTCTCCTGCTTCTGCTTGTCACGGGTGAGTGCAGCCCTCCCCTCTCCTAGCCCCTGCTCGCTTGATCCAAGGCCTGGCCAAGGGGTGAAGGGCCCTCTTGCTCCTTTGCTTCCCTTTTGCGGTAGAGATGATGGTGTTGACGGTGATGGTGATGTATGTGGGAGCCAGAGACAGCCCCCCCTCCCGGGTAGGCTGTTATTGGAAGTCATGTTCAGGCAAGAAAAGGCAGAAAAGATATTTAGGGATTTGGGGGGTCCTGTTGGTAGTCAGACTGGGCTCCGTCCCTCTTTCCCTTCAGGAGGCACGGCTCAGGACTCCCCACCCCAGATCCTAGTCCACCCCCAGGACCAGCTGCTCCAAGGCCCTGGCCCCGCCAAAATGAGCTGCCAAGCCTCGGGCCAGCCACCCCCCACCATCCGCTGGCTGCTGAATGGGCAGCCCCTGAGCATGGTGCCCCCAGACGTCCACCACCTCCTTCCTGATGGGACGCTCCTGCTGCTACGGCCCCCTGCCCAGGGACGTGCCCACGACGACCAGGCCCCATCCACAGACCTGGGCATCTACACGTGTGAGGCCAGCAACACGCTGGGCACAGTGGTCAGCCGAGGAGCTCGGCTGTCTGTGGCTGGTAAGGCCTGGGAGGGGAGGCCCCAGGTGGGGACACCTGGGGGGACCTCTGGGCTGGGACAACTGAGGAGGGGGGCTCTGAAGAGTGAACATAGGTGGTGAAGAGGTGGGTAAAACCAAATGGGGTGAGGGTGGTCGGAGGCACCGAGGCAGGGCCTTGTGGAAGGGAGCACTGGACACTCGTCCCTGCTGACCCGCCCTCGTCTCTGTAGTCCTTCGGGAGGACTTCCAGACCCAGCCTCAAGATACAGTGGCCACTGTGGGCGAGCAGGTGATTCTGGAATGTGGGCCGCCCTGGGGCCACCCAGAGCCCACAGTCTCGTGGTGGAAAGATGGCAAACCCCTGGCCCTACGGCCAGGGCGGCACTCGGTGAGTGTAGCCCCCTTCCCCATACCTCCTCTGGCCCAGAGCAGAACTGGGCACACCCGGAGGGAGTGACCCGCCCCCCAGCCCTATGTCTCCTGCAGAGTTTAAGGAAGGGAAGGCAGGGAGGCCTGAATCAGAGCCCCTCCCCACACGGGAGACTTCACAAAGCACCTGGCCCTGACAGGTCTCCAGGGGCTCCCTGCAGATGGCAAGAGCAGAGAAGAGCGATGCAGGGACCTATATGTGCGTGGCCACCAACAGCGCAGGACAACGGGAGAGCCGGGCAGCCAGGGTATCTGTCCAGGGTAAGGCGAGGGTGGTCAGCGAAAGTTAGGGCCTGGTTTGGGCTGGGGCTAGGGTCTGTGGGCATCAACCTGGGATCAGAATCAGAGTGATGAGGACCCCATTTAAAGGGAGATTCCCTCATCCTAGAATAGAAATAGGAGTGCCCTAGACTGGGAAATCTAGCACTTTGGGTTGCTCCAAGCCTGGGGGATATCTCACTCCTCAATCTCATCCTCTGGCCTAGAGGCCCCAGACCAGCCCTATGCTCCCCACAGAGCCCCAGGACTACAAGAAGCCTCTGGAGCTGCTGGCCGTGCACATTCAGCTGGAAAACGTGACCTTGCTGAACCCAGACCCTGCAAAGAGCACCAAGCCTGAGCCTGCTGTGTGGCTCAGCTGGAAGGTGAGGCCCCGGACCCAGGGGTGGGTGCCAGTCCAGAGCTCAAGGAAGAGCTGGTCTTAAAACACCATTAAACCCCCCACCCACCTCTGGACTCTTTCCTAGGTGAGCGGCCCTGCAGCACCTGCTCAGTCCTACACAGCCCTCTTCAGGGTCCAGACGGCCTCAGGAGGCCCAGGAGCTCCATGGGCGGAGGCCCTGCTGGCTGGCTGGCAAAGTGCGGAGCTTGGAGGCCTCCTTTGGGGCCAAGACTACGAGTTCAAAGTGAGACCATCCTCTGGCCGGGCTCAAGGCCCTGACAGCAACGTGCTGCTCCTGAGGCTGCCCGAGCAAGGTCAGGGACAGGTGCCCGCAGGGCTCAGCAGTATACTCTCTGGCACCTTCTTGTCTGGGGGCCCCTCGACTGGCCCACTCCAGGCAGGGGGAACGGTGGGTCCTAGTCCTGGACTCCCTCCTGTCATGGCCGGGCAAGCAGAGCTGTAAGAAACTCTGGTTCTTATCAGTGCAATCTGTGACCACATCCCCAGACCAGCTCTGTTTCCTAGTGTCCCCCCCTTCAGCACCCCTAAAAGCCTCTCCTCCTCCCCTGCAGTGCCCAGTGCCCCTCCCCAGGAGGTGGCCTTAAAACCTGGCAATGGCAGTGTCCTTGTAAGCTGGGTCCCACCACCTGCTGAAAACCACAATGGCATCATCCGTGGCTACCAGGTACTCCCACAGCCTGCACGCCCCTTCCTAGTGGTGCCAGGACATCCCTCTTCCCTGGTGCCCTGCATGCCCTTGCTCTGGACACTGAGAAACAGCCCCTGGGCCGAGAAACAAGGGAAACTCACTGTTGCTAAGCCAGGGTTTGCCAGACGCTGCCAAGTGCTTTCCTACATGATCTCATTTTTTCTTACAGTCCGTCCCGGGTTATTATCCCTACTTTACAGACATGGCAAGTGAGGCCAAGGTCACAGGTGCAGGAAACAGAACAAGAATCAAACCGGGCTGTGTCTGACTCCCAATCTCTAAGGCTGCGGCATCAGAATGTGGTTCTTGGACCAGCTGCCCCTTGATAACTTGTTAGAAACGCACATGAATCAGAAACTCAGGGATGGGCCTTGCAGCCTGGCTTTTTAAACCCTCCCTGTGACCCTAAAGCACAGTGAGGTTTGAGAACCATGGTCTTACATCTCTTGGAGCAGATTGCTTTTGCTCCCCTCTGTCAGTCTCAAGAGAGAAGTCTCTCTCACTCCATAGGGAGAAGGGCATAGGAAGTACAGCTTCATGGGGTGGGGGGAATGTCCCCAAGGTGCCCCAAGCAGGGCAGGATGATCGCATGCCCAGAGACGAAGGGCTCAGCTGCTGGGCTGGTGCAGGGGGAATGGGTGCTCACCTCCACTCCTGCCTCAGATCTGGAGCCTGGGCAACACCTCGCTGCCCCCAGCCAACTGGACCGTGGCCGGTGAGCAGACCCAGCTGGAGATCGCCACCCGAATGCCAGGTTCCTACTGCATACAAGTGGCTGCAGTCACTGGCGCCGGGACTGGGCCTCCCAGTAGCCCTGTCTGCCTCCTTTTAGGTGAGGGCAGTGCCCACCAGCCCCCTGCATGCCCCTTGAGCTCCCCTTCCCACCTCCCTCCTCCCTCTCTCCCTCCTCCCACCTCACTCCCACTTCCAGTTCATGGTCTGCCCCCCCCCACATCGCCCACCTGCCCCTCCCGCTGAGCTCAAAATCCCTCACAGAGCGGACCATGGAGCGAGCCACCCAAGAGCTCAGTGATGGTCCCTGGACTCTGGAGCAGCTGAGGGCCACCTTGAGGCGGCCAGAAGTGATTGCTGGTGGGGGTGTCCTGCTCTGGCTGGTGCTGCTGGGCACAGCGGTGTGTGTCCACCGCAGGCGCCGAGCTGGGGTGCACCTGGGCCCAGGTGAGAGGCCAAAGTGGATTCCCGGGGGGTCGAGGCAGAACGATACAGGGGCTTAGATCTCTGGCCACGTGCTGGACACTCTGGATTCAGCCTTCCTTTTGCCCTCTTGCAGGTCTGTACAGGTACACCAGTGAGGACGCCATCCTAAAGCACAGGTGAGAGGTGAAAGGGGAGGGGCTTGAGGTGAGGTAGGGGCAGAGGGGCCAAGGGACAGTGGGGCCTGGACAGAGAGGAGGATGGAATCTTGTCTCTCCTACTGCCAGGCACGTTGGGATCCTACCACTCATATCTCTCGTGAACTCCAAGTGAGAATTAATTTCTCATTTGTTAATGTTCCTATGACCCCATTTGACAGTTGAGTGAACTGAGACTCATGACTTACGTGATTTTGCCCAAAGCCACACTGCTTGCTAGTAGCTGGGGTGCTTTAGGAGCTCCTAATCCGGTGCGCTTGGCATCCCCCTCTCACTAACACTACACTCTCCTGCTGACTCTCTCTGCTAGGTGGGGAATGACTAGCATGGGAGGGGCGGTCTGATTTCTAGTTTTCTCTATATACCCCGGGTCCACCTAGCAGGGCCTTTGCATTCAGGAGAGCACCCCCCTTATTGAGGGGTGTCTCCTTCACAATCATCACCCGCAGCTCCAGCAGAGGGCGCTCGGCCCCTACCTTCGCGATCCTCTGTCCCCGGTGTCAGTACCAGGGTCAGCTGGCAGGTACGCCTGCTCCAAGTCTTGGGCTGCCAAAGTGAGTCTGTGGTTATGAGACAAGATGCTAAGAAAGAAAACATCCTTTTTTTGTCTTCTTGGCTGAGTTTTACACTAAATAACCATTTCCACTCTCTGCCCACCTGCTCCTGATCTTTATCTCAGTGGATTTCCTCTGAAATGCTTTACATTCCAAGTCTGCATCTTTCAACAAAAGATTATCAAGCACCGACTCTGTGCCAGACACATCCAGCCCTTGAGTCACCATTTTGCTGCCAGTGTCTCAGGCCAGAGCCAGGTTCCAAGCTGTCTGGGGCCATGCTCCTGAGTTATTCTGTGCTCACTGGCCTTTTTTTTCTAGTTGCTTCCTGGGCTTTGTTCTGTCCTGAACATCCTCTGGATCCCCTGGGACTTTATCCCTTGTCTTTGAGGGGGATTCCATTCTCCTTTTTAAAGATTTATTTATTTGAGAGAGAGAGAGAAAGAGAGATGGGGGGGAAGGAGGAGAGGGAGAGAGAGAGTATTAAGGCAACTCCACACTGAGCGCAGAGCCCCACGAAGGGCTCCACCTCACGACCTTGGGGGTCACACCTCAGTGGAAACCAAGAGTCAAACGCTTAACCAACTGTGCCACCCAGGCACCCTAGGGGGATTCCATTCTGATTATTTTGTTCATTCATTTCTTTAGCACAGGCTCTATGCCCCAGGGACTCTCAATCTAGGCAGAGAAAGCCTTGCTAGGATATGAGTGCAATCCAGTGTTAGAAGTGCCGGGACATGGGGTGCCTGGGTGGCTCAGTCCATTAAGTGGCCAACTCTTGATTTACATTCAGGTCATGGTTTCGAGTGCTCCGCAGGGATTCTGCTTGAGGAGTCTCCATCTCTCCCTCTCCCTCTGCCCCTCAGCCCACTCACATACTCTCTCTCTCTAAAATAAGTAAATAAATCTTTTTTTAAAAACAGTGCAGAAACTTATACAAGGTATGTGGAATGAGTGGAGTGGGGAAATAAGGTGGGAGAGTCCACGTTTACCCTGATGGTAAGAAGGAGAAGGGCAAAAGGGGAAGCAAGAAGTAGCCTGCTATGTTCATGGGGAAAGATAAGCCATTTGGTCTGGCTGGGACATAGGGGGCAAGATGGGTGAGCGTAAAGGATAAGGTTAGGGAGCTGGAAGCCAGACACCAGAAGCCCCATTGGCCAAGCTAGGCAGCTGGGCTCTATCTTGGTAAACGAGGAGCACTGAAGGTTTTGGGCAGAGAATTGCTCTGGTCCCATCCCTGTTCCTGAAAGATTACTCAGGCAGCCAGCAGGGCACCCGGTTCAAAGGGAGCCAGGCAAGAGGCAGAGAAAGTCGCATCCGCAGAGCCAACTCCTGCCCCGCCAGCTGAGTGAGCTCACATTTCCTCCTTTGGGCTCACAACATCAGCCTTATATGGAAGGCTTTTATGTCGTCCTTTTACAGATAAAGAAGCAGGGCTTCCAGAGGCTAGTAGACCTGCAGCAGATGGGGTCAGTCTGCCCCCAGGTCTGCTCTCTTTGTCTCGGCACAGGGCTGTTGGGCTGTCTCTCTTGAACACCTCCTAGTTCCGCTCCACTTGGACTTCCCCTGGTCCCAGGATAAGAAAGGAGCACTGAGCTAGGGACGCCAGGTCAGAGATCTTGAGGAGTCTGCGGAGGTCTAGCAGGCAGGGAGAATAACGCTGCTGCCACCATCCACTCAAACCCTTCTGCTACCCTCTGAGCTGGAGCTCCTGGCCAATTATGTTCTGGCTTCACCCCGTTTCTCCTGCCCCACCCCCACCCTCCATTGCCCCAGGATGGATCACAGTGACTCCCCTTGGCTGGCAGACACCTGGCGTTCCACCTCTGGCTCCCGGGACCTGAGCAGCAGCAGCAGCCTCAACAGCAGGCTGGGAGTGGACCCCCGGGACCCACTAGACTGTCGCCGCTCCCGTGAGCATGCCCAGTGGGGCCAGGGCCCTGCCAGTGAAGCTGGGATCCTGGAGGGGGGGGATTGTGGGGTGGGATGCACTCACCGTAATTCTTCCTGTCGTTCTTGCCACAGTGATCTCCTGGGATCCCCGAAGCCCTGGTGTGCCCCTGCTTCCCGACACCAGCACTTTTTATGGCTCCCTCATCGCTGAGCTGCCTGCCGGCCCCCCGGCCCGGCCAAGCCCCAAGACCCCAGCTGTCAGGCGTCTCCCACCCCAGCTGGCCCGGCTCTCCAGCCCTTGGCCCAGTCCCGACAGCCTCGGCAGCCGCAGGGGCCTCGCTTCTCCTCTGGCCCCCGCAGAGGCTTGGAAGGCCAAAAAGAAGCAGGGTAAGGATGGGGAGGTGGGGTGAAAGCAGGTGGCAGGAGGGAACTGGACTGGGAGTGTGGCAGGACGTGGCCTGGGACTTGGAAGCCTGATGACTTGGCTTCCAGTTCCCTGTCCAGGGAGACACAGGGACTCCCCACTATCACCAAAGCACTCAGAGAGGGGAGTGCTGGCCTCTGCTTTTCTTGATGTGCTGTTACTGCTACTTGCCACACCAGTAGCAGGCCCGATTTCCGTATTCAGTTGAATTTGGCCAACATTTCATAAGCACCATTGTATGCCAGCCAGGGGGACACGAGGGACAGCTCTTGCCATCTGAGGGCTCAGAGTCTAGTGAGAGCGCCTGACCAGCGTATGAGTAACTCTAGAACCTGGCAGCATGTGACCAGTGCTAGGGAGCAGCCTCATCTCCGGGTGCACTATGCACGGGCCTCCCCAGGCACTGACTCCCAGCTCCCATTTCCCAGAGGAAAATGAGTAATTCCTTTCTGCCCAGATTTCTCTCCTAACTTCCTACTACCTGCTTTGCCTTCCCCAAGAGAAATAACTATAATGTCTGTTTCTTTAGCAACTACTATATGTTAGGTGCCTTACTTATTTATTATTTCATTTAAAAATACCCCTCTCCAACCTATTAGATAGGTATTCTTTCTCTAATTTTGCAGATGGGGAGAGAAGATCAGAAATGAGTAACTTGTTCAAAATCCCCCCAAGTCAGTAAGCGGCCGAACTCAGATTTGAAGTCAGAGTGGTCTGCTTCCAAAGGCCACCCTCTGGGAGCTCCCCTGAGAGACTCTACTCTACCACTGACTATTTTCTCTTGTTTCTGAACACTGGCCTGCACTCCACCTGCTGTCTTCATGAGCCTTCTGTGCTGATTAGTAAGCCTTACAAATGTCCTACAGCCAATTATTTTTTTTAAAGTGGATATAATCCAGCTTTCATTAGGACAAAGATGGATTCAGAGTAATTAAGAGCTTGTCCAATATCCAGAATTTTATGACCCTAAATATTAGCCAAGCTGGCATTATTTCCAGCTTCGCCTCGGAACTATAGCATTTGGAATCCTCGGTGGTAATGAAAGAGCAGCTAAAAAGGTGTTGAAAACATCCCATTTAAAAACAAGTCTTCCCATGGAGAACTACTTTGACTTGGGTATGATGTAAAAGCCCATCTTAGAACATTAATACTACTGGGGGGGGGTAGTGAGTAGTTTTCTATAGTCAATTCTTTTTTTTTTTTTAAAGATTTTACTTATTTATTATGAGAGACACACACACACACAGAGAGAGAGAGAGAGAGAGAGAGAGAGAGAGAGAGAGAGGCAGAGACACAGGCAGAGGGAGAAGCAGGCTCCATGCAGGGAGCCTGACATGGGACTCCATCCTGGGTCTCCAGGATCACACCCTGGGCTGAAGGCGGCGCTAAACCACTGGGCCACTGGGGCTGCCCATCTACTGTCAATTCTTAAGACAGGTTCCACTTCTGAGAGAAGGCTTAGGTCCCCACTCTCCCCTGTGTCTCCTCGCCCAAGCCCCACTGGCTAACCACAGTGGCTCCCCTGCACAAGTGACACTCAATGGCCCACCTCCAGTCCGGAGCCCTCAGCAGCAGAAAGATCATGCTATTGTCTTGTCCAGAGCCATAGAGTTGGCTCTACTGCTGTCACTTGGTCCAAAAGACTGAGGATTCTTTGTCTTCTGTCATTGGCAAGCTCTTTCAGTGCCCCCTACTCCCCTTAAGCTGCTTATTCTTTTTTCTTATTGTTCTTAGTTCTCCTCTGCTAGATACATACATTGAATATCCTAATTACTTAATTAATTCAAACAAATATTTATTGCCATTCAGATATGTCCAGTGAGATTTGACCTAACCTTGATAACATTTTTATTGTGTCATTTGCTCAAATAACACTGAAACTAAAATCCAAGTAATTTTAAGTGTGTTGAAAGGAGGCTTTTGTTACTAGAGTCCCTCAGAGGAAATAAAATGGGCTGGGACAAACGTGGCCTTTTCTAGGACTGGCCTTTCCTCTTCCTTGTCCACACAAACCAACCGACCAACATATGTCCCCATTTCTGAGCTTACTCAGGAAGCCGGGCACTAGATGAGACAAAGCTGCTGATAGCAGAGTTGGAGCACCTGAAGTTGGCCTCCAGGTCTCCCTAGGTCATACAACAAATAAAGGAAATAAATTAAAAAACAAAGCAGCCTACGAACAAAAGGAAATTTTGGTGGAGGAAGTCTAGCCATTGTGTGGGTTTTCATCCCGGTAGCTCAGAAGTTCTGGCCACTGTACATGGATAGCCAGGGCCGAGATAGTCCTGGTGAATGCAGTAGCCTTGATCTCATCCCTGCTCTGAACCTGCCCGTGGTGGCCTCCAAATCCTTGAGATCACACTCAACAGTCCTCTCTGGTCTCTGGTTTGCCCTTTCCTAACTCGGTTTCTAATCATATGACACTAAAATGAAGGCTGCTTCTTTTTTCCTTTACTTGATATTTTCCTGGTTCCTGGTCTTAGGGAAATCTCTTCCTTCTATTACCTTCCTGATCCCCTTCTGGTTTAAACTTAGATCAATTTGGGTTTTGGCCCGAGCAAGAAGCATGCTCTTGGGTCACTGCACACAGCTGGGTCTGTAGCTTCAGTTGTCTCAGGTTCTCCATTGTCAGAGTTCACTCAGAACGTTGTCTCTTAAGCAGCCATGTGAGCCAGATGGTGGCCACCCTCCTGTGATTCTTCTCATCTCATATTTACGTCTACATCTCTGCTATTATCCATCCGTTTGCTCATTCATTCAACCAATGTCATCTAATATCTATGGGCCGGGCGTTGCCTCCCTGAGTGAGACCAACACATCCTCCTATTCTAGAGGGCCTCTTCTTCTCAGCTGACTCTCTCCTGTTACACCCAGCGTGGTGTGGGGTTATCTTACCCACTCGGCTCAACTTGACAGTCCAACCCTTCTTCCCAAGTGAGAGATACTCAGGTTTTTCAGGGCAAGGTTATCCAGAACCATGTCAGATATTCGTCATGTGAGAAATGGAAGATTGGAGTGTATACAGTAAGGAAAAGAAAATAACCAATGCATCTTTTAGGCACCAGGAACTTTCCAATCTGGCTTTGGTTTTTGTTTTTTTAGATTTTATTTATTTGACAGAGAGAGAGAGACCACAAGCAGGGGCAAAGGGAGAGGGAGAAGCAGGCTCCCCACTGAGCAGGGAGCCAGACTCAGGGCTGGATCCCAGGACCCTGAGATCATGACCTGAGCCAAAGGCGGACGCTTAATCAGCTGAACTACCCAGGCACGCTCCAATCCATTTTTATAAATAAATTAAAACTGGCAAAACTATCACTTGACTGGGTGTTCTCAAAGAAAACAAAAGCTCAGGAAAGCTGGTGGATTTACCTGTGGTCACACAGTAACTATGTAACTGAGCTGGGCTGTGAGAGCAGGTGTTTTGACCCCAAGCCCAGTGCTACCTTCCTCCCTATCATAGCTGCCTGCACGAAGGTGAGGGTGGAGAGGACAGAGGGAGGTTTTTCCCTCCCTTCTCGGGGTTCAGGGGTCCTAAAGCTTAACTGAATGACAGGCTGAAGATAGAGGCTGTGGTTGGAGTCTGCAGGCCCACCCGGCTTGCCCTCCACCTGCTGACTCTTGCCTTTGCAGAGCTGCAACAAGCCAATAGCTCCCCACCCCTCCGGGCCAGCCGCCCTATGGAGCTCTGGGCCTGGGAGTTGGGGAACAGAGGCTCCAAGAACCTTTCCCAAAGCCCAGGTGAGAGGAGGCCCAAAAAGGGAAGTGAAGGGGTGAGGCAGGGTGGAGGGTCCATAGCCCCTGAGGACGCTGGGTGGGTGGGGTGTGGGGACAGGAAACTGGGGGGCAGGGCAGGGTCTGGGGCTGATGGGGGTTCTACCATTCTCACCCCCAGGCTTTTGCTCCCCAGGAGTTGTGCCCCAGGCTCTGGTGGCCTGGAGGGCCCTGGGACCGCAGCTCCTCGGCTCCTCCAATGAGATGGTTTCACGCCCTCTCCCCCCAGCACCCCTCGCTCCACGTGGAGCCCCTACTCAGAGTCAGCAGACCCAGTAAGAGGGCACGGGGTCAGGAAGCAGGGCTGGGGGGCTGGGGGAGGGTGTCCAGGGGCTGCACTAACCACCCTGTCATCACTCTTACCCCAATCAGGCACTCTGCAGAGCCCCAAGCTCCGTCCTCCCACCCACTGCCAGCAGCCCCCATCCTGATCCCCTCCAGCCCCCAGGCCTCTTCCCTCTCCGGGCCCAGCCCAGAGTCCAGTCGTCTGTCCAGCTCTTCACTGTCATCCCTGGAGGAGGATCAGGACAGCGTGCTGACTCCTGAGGAGGTGGCCCTGTGCCTGGAGCTCAGCGAGGGTGAGGAGACCCCCAGGTGAGTGGCCTGAGGGATGACCAAAGGACTAGGGGTAAGCACAGGACAGGAGTATGCTTATCTCTACCCAGCCCCTGTCCCTCCTCAACTGGGAGCTGTGCCAGCCTACCCACCTGTCTCCCCTTTTGCCTCCTTTCTAGGAATAGTGTCTCTCCTATGCCAAGGGCTCCTTCACCCCCTGTTACCTATGGCTACATCAGCATCCCGGCTGCCTCAGAGCTGGCAGACATGGGCAGGGCCGGAGGAGGGGTGGGATCCGAAGTGAGGGGCTTGCTGTGCCCGCCCCGGCCCTGCCCCACCCCTACCCCCAGCGAGGGCTCCCTGGCCAACGGCTGGGGTTCAGCCTCCGAGGACAATGCCCCCAGTGCCCGAGCCAGCCTCGTCAGCTCCTCCGATGGCTCCTTCCTTGCTGATGCTCACTTCGCGCGGGCCCTGGCGATGGCTGTGGACAGCTTTGGCTTTGGTCTGGAGCCCAGGGACGTGGACTGCGTCTTCATGGGTACGTGAGATGCCCCTGCCTCGCTTCTCACCCCCGCCCCTTGGAGTATACACAGCTCCTGTAAGAACTCCTCCCCAACCAAGGAGCAAGGCTTCCTGATCATTGTCTTGGTGGTTATGCTTCAAACCGCTAGCTTTTACTGAATGATTACTAGGTCCCCGGCCCTCTGCTAAGTGCCTTATATACACCCAATATTAATGACTCTATGAGGAATATTCTTTATCTTTCTTTTCCAAATGAGGGAACTATGAATCCAACAGGTTGTCTAACTTGCCCAAGGTCACCCGCAAGAACCAGGACAAAATGTTCAAGTCTAAAGCCCAGGGCAGCCAGTTGTATGGCCCCTTGCCCTGCCTCCAGGTCCCTCCCCTGAACCCAGACAGAGGTCTCCAGGACAGGTTGTGCTTCACCTCTTCTACTTACTCCAACCCACTGTTTCAGATTCTCCTCACCAGGGGAGCTTCTGTTCTCTCTCTTACAAGTCCTTCCTCTTGCCCCATCTGTGGTTGGGGTGAGGAGAAGCTGGCTCACCTCTCCACGTGTCCAGCGGGGTGGGACCGCTATCTCTGTGTCGAAGAGACAGGAGCTCGGAGTTCCCTGTGCCCCTGCCTCGTACCCTCTCTCAGATCCCCTATACCCATCTTAGGAACCCTAACTCTACCCTTCCCCCCCCAAAAAAAATCTTATGGTAAATGGGAAAGCAAGGATTATCCAGGACGGAGGTACCCGTAACAGGGGGGAAGAAGGGTGCCCAGGGAGAGGAGAGGTGAAGGGTGAGACTATGGATAGAAGGCCAGAGCTGGGCTAGGAGGAAATGTTCAAACTATTCTCTCTAAAGAAACCAGTGGATTCGTTCCAATGGCCTCCAGAATTGATGAGCAGAGTTGGGGCTACGTTACCTTGCGGGTTGGGTGTGTGCCCTAAGCGTCCTGCCCTAAACTGGTCCCTCAGAGTGATGGCCAATGCTCTACACACAAATCTACCCTCCCTGACAGATGTCTCCTCTCCTCCTTCCCCCCGCGATGACCTCTTCCTGACCTCCACCCTCTCCCTGCCCCTGTGGGAGTGGAGGTCAGACTGGCTGGAGGACGTGGAGAACAACCGTAGCCAGCGGCTGGGAAGGGGGCTGCCTCCCTGGCCCCCCGATTCCCGGCGCTCTTCCAGAAGGAGTCAGCTGGACCGTCCTGAGCCCAAGGCCACCAGTAAGTGTCTGTCTGCCCAGCCAACGTGGTGACCTTGACTGAGGGACTCTGGGGAGGAGCCAAGGGGGAGACCTGGGGTTGGGCAGGACATATGGACCCGCAGGGTAAGCCACTCTCCTTCAACTTCCCCTACAGACTCTTCATGAAGCGTGCCTGGGACTGCCTAGAAGAGAATCAAGACCCTCCAGTGGAGCCTCAGCCTTGGCCTCTGCTTCTCTGCATCTGGGGGACCCCTTGCCGGGCATCCAGGGAAGTTCTCCAGCCAGGATTGTGAAAACAAATGAAAGCAAAACAAAATAAGCACAAAGCAGACCCAGGGCCCTCAGGGAGCGAAGTTATCACGGCCTGCCTCCTCGTCCTGGCTTTCTCCTCCTTCCATCCATCCCACCACCAGGTCCTTGGGCCTGAGAAGTAGCCTTATCTCCAGATCGTCCCACCCCCTTTGGATTATGGGAACTGGGGGGAGCCAGAGGTCTTCCCAGAGGACAACAGCAGCCTGGGGACAGGCGGCCAGGGAAGGAGCTTTACAGAGCCACCCCTCTCAGGAGGGGAACGTTCCTTCCCACAGGGGCAGGCTCCCCTCCCCCCAGCCACACCCTTGAAAGGAGGGAAGGAGGGACAGCACTGAAGCGCCAGGCCCCCTCCTTGGTACCCAGGCCGAGGGGCCAGAATCCATCCGAGAAAAGGTGGGACTAAACACCCTCCTCATACGTGGACTCTGTGAGCTTAAGAAACTGATACCATAAACGTGTGATGACTTGAGTACGGTGAGATCATTCCCCAGAGCACCAGGCTGGGGGGGGGGGCCCGGAGATGCAGGAAGAACTCTGAGTCAGAAGGGGGTCAGGCATTCACTGGCGCTCGGGGAGCATCACTTATTTCTGCTCTGTCACTGAGGGAAGAATTACACGCATCCACCAGATTTTCCTGGTCTACTGGTCTTAGCAACCAGTCCGGGGAAGACAAGACCCGCTTTCAGCCGGCCCAGCACCCCCCTTCCCAGAGACCAGCCCAGATGGTTAAGACCAGATGGTTTCTTAAAATAGACAAAGTAGCTAAATTCCCGAAAAGGTAGAACCACCTGAGATGGTTGGCAAGGGAAGACCCTTCAGACGAAACAAGAGAACCGAGGAACGGAGCGGGGCGGCCAGGGCCGGAGCCCCAGAAAGCTCTGGGAGGGCAGGTGGGGCCCCCGTCTTTCTGACCTGCTGGGAGAGACAGGGGCAGGCCACGCACATCTAGAGGGGACCATGCTCCTGCATGGGACCAGGGCCGCAGGAGGACAGCTTTCGGGAGGGCCGACTAGGAAGCAGGAGGTGACAGGGGATGATAATCCCCCAAACCTAAGCAGCTCCAGCTGGGGTCACTCTGAACTCACAACATGCTGGCCCGAGGGACCACGACCCGGAGGTGCTGGGGGTCACGGCGCTGCCTGAACTGCCGTCATCAAGCCCTTCCGGCTGGAGCGTCTTCACCTCAGGATGACAAATCAGTGCTCTGGACTCCGATCCCTGCCTCTCTATCTGCTTTTCCTTTTTTGGATTTTGTTTTTCTTTTGGCTTCCTGGTAAAATTCCTTTTAAAAACATTCTAAGCCCCTTTGCCAGATGGATGGAGAGAAAGGGATGTGTGCACACTTAGGTCGCAGCGGCTGGAGGGGCCACAGCAGCCAGCGCTTGGGGGAGGGGACAGTGGGCATCCCCCCTGAGAGCCCAGGGCATTTACTGCACCTGGGGGTGAAGCCGTGGGAAAGAAAGAGCCCCAGGAAACCAGTGAGCGGCACAAGCTGTGTATGAGGGAGCAGTGGGTGCGATGGCATCCAGGGCCACATTTTTAAAAAAACAGTATGCCAGCAAACCAATGACATCTGGGTCTACCTGGCTGAGAGGTGTCTGTGTGCACAAGGGGGTCGGGGGGTCTGAAAAAAAAAGCCTGTTTTTCCTTCTTGGCTGGGGTTTCCCCTGTCAACTCCTTTCTTTGAGTTTTGCTTCATTTATTTATTTTAAAAATTCCTTTTGCAGATTTTTTTAAAATTTATTTGAGAGATGAGGGAGGAGCAGAGGGAGAGGCAGACAAGAGGATGCCCCACTGAGCAGGGAGGGAGCCTGGTGTGGGACTCTGTCTCAGTACCCCGAGATCGTGACCTGAGCCAGAATCAAGAGTCAGGTGCTTAATAGCTTGAGCACCCCCAAGAGCTGCTCTTTAAGTTTTAAAACAATTATGATTATTGTGAGGGGCCGATTTGCTTATAGGAGGGTAGACAGACCCTGAGGACACCAAGGGAGGGCCTGGCTTGGCTGTCTGAAGGTGGGACAGGTTTCTCGTTGTTGGTTATTTGGAAAGTCCTTCTGTCTTTTTTTTTTTAAGATTTTATTTATTCATTCATGAGAGACACACAGAGAGAGGCAGAGACATAGGCAGAGGGAGAAGCAGGCTCCCTGTGGGAACCCCGATGTGGGACTCGACCCCAGGACACTGGGATCACACCCTGAGTCAAAGGCAGATGCTCAACCACTGAGGCACCCAGGCGCCCCAAAAGTCCCTCTGGTTTTCACTGGGATAGGGTGGGCTTCAGCTCCCTGAGGAGGCAGGACAGGCCGGGATCCCTTGGCTCCTGTCCTCATCTAGTGCTTTTAATAGAGGGTCAAGAGGAAGTGGAAGCTACTCTGTGTGCCTTGATCTACACTCTCTTGAAGCTCCTTTCTTCCCCGCGTCCTGCACAAAACCAGACAAGCGGGCTCCAGGGCTCTGATCAGACTCCTTTTATTGTCTCTTTTACAAACGTGGTTCAGGTAGAAAGAGATGGAAAGGGAAGAGCTGGCTCTCTGGCTTCTAAGCATCATTGCAGGAGGGAAGAGACCCTCCCCCCTGCTCCTCTCTGCTCACCCCCATTTGCCAGGGGGAGGGGCTCCCATCCAAGGCTCCTGGCCCAGGGCCAAGCCCTTCCCCGTGGAATTCCAGGTATCCTTATCCAGGGTCATCTTGGTTCCTAGAGAGAGGAAGAGGCTGGTTTGCAAGGCCAGAAGCCAAGGCAAACAGGCTATGGGAGGGGACAGGCCTCTTCTCTCCTGACCTCACTCTCCTCTGGGGAGCCCAGGCTCCCCTATGTATTACCTTGTCTTCACTCTTTGTCACCTGTTCTCCAGGTGTCACCTGTTCCCCCTCACTCACTGGGTCCCCTCCTTTTGACACCTGCTCAGAAAGCCCTTCCTGTTCCCAGGCACCCACTCCTCGGCTCGCCTGCCCAGCCTTCTCCCCGTTGCTCGCATACCCTAGCCCGCACCTCTCCACATTTCTGTCCTGGCCTCTGGCTCTGGCTCCGGCTCCGGCTCCGACTCCGTCCAGGTCCCCGGGAGCCTCGAGAGCTGCCGGAGCCTCTCGAAGAGTTGCTGCCGGCTGTGGAACAGGTGTTGGGCCCCTGGCCCCGGGACAGGAAGCTCGGTCGGCTATAAGGGAGCCAGGCCTCTTCTGCAGCCCAAGAGAGAAGGGCCACGGCGCCCAGGCAGAGAGCAGGACATCACTGCCTGGCCACTGTCTGCCCACCCTGACCTCAGCCCCAGCTCTGGTGGAAGAGATTACGGGCATGGGGCTCAGTCCACCCTGGGTGCTCAGGAGAGACAAAATGCCCGTGACCTTGCCAGCACGGGACCTTGACATAACACAGGCTCAGAAACCCATGGGAGACCCAGAAAGAGCCTCAGGCAAGGAGAGTCAGAACACCCAGCCCCACTCTTCTCTCATCTGGGCTTCAGTCCTGGGAAATTACACAACTTGGGAACATCAGGGGATTCTTCCCACGGAGAACTACAGAGACAGGTGGAGGTTTTGATCAGATGCATGAACCCAGCTGATGGGGGGGGGGGGCTGGGTCGAAAGTTTCAGGTCTCTACTATGCTATTGGCTTCCACTCCCAACTTCTTGTGTAGCAGTGGCCGTCTGGCCTGCCCTGGCCCTCCTTACCATCCAGGTGGGGACCCCGCTGGGCCCCCAGGAGCCCAGCCTGCACCATTCTCTCCCCACTGCGCTCCCGCTCTCGTTCCAGGGAGGACATGCTGCCTGCTGCTCTCAGCCCTAAGGCCCAGCTCGTCTCTTCCTCTGGTGGTGGCAAGGGTGGTGGGGGCAAATCTGGGGAGAGACCTATTTTCAGCAGAGTCTCTCACTTCGCCTGATACCAATCTTTCTCCCACTCCTACTCCCCAGCATTGAAGGGGTGGGGAGGCTGTGACTGAACAGCCCAAGATTTGGGTTCATCTGCTCCCTCCTCCAGCCCCCAGAGCTCATCCTTGGCTTCCTGCCTGTTCCCTCTACTGTCACCAACTCTCAGGCCCAAGGCACCCTCACCGCCAGGACTGTGCTCCCGCCGGTAGGGAACAGCCTTGGGCTTCCGGATTCGGGCACGGGGCCCTTGAAGCGGAGGGGTCATCTCCCCAGGCACCTGCCGGGTTCTCCCTGTAGCATTAGGGGATTAGGGGATGGGGAGCAGAGCAGGTAAGAGAGAGGATCAGGAAAGGGGCTTGAGGATGAAGCTTGGTGGGGAGGGAGGGCAGTAGGGGGAGGTAGGGACAGGTTAAGTGTTCCACAGACTCACCTGGGGCACTGCTGGCTGTACTAGGGACAGGGCTGGGGTTGAGGTGATGGGAGGCTGTGGGGCCAGCACCCAGGCCAGCAGGCCTCCCTTCGTGGCTACTCAGAGTGGGCTGGGATACACTGAGAGGGGAACTTGGCCCCAGGGGCACCCTCCTGCAATGACATGAGGCCTCAGCATTTGTTCATTCAACGAACTCTAAGTGCCCACTACGTTCCAGGCACTGTGCTAGACACGTCGATGAATAAGGCACAGGGTGTCCCCCACAAGGCTCCAAAGCTAGTGAACTATGAGGAGAGCCATGTCTTTGAAATGCCCCAAGAAGCTTGCAGAGCCGCTCCCATGGAGAGACAGTCTGAAGGGAGTGAGAGACCCTGTCAGCCTTCATATTCCTTCCCAAGTCACACTTCCACTCTGACACGGCCATGAGACCTCTGGACCCCAGATTCATCCATCCGTCCATTCATCTATCTATCCAATCCCCCACGGAAGAGATATGCACCTAGGGCCAATAATGTGCCTCCCTACCTGGGCATCTGGTGGAGATGGGGGATGTCAGTGGGGGGCTGGGGAGGGTCAGGAGGTGAGGGGGTAAGAGTAGCTGTGGACTGCTGTCCATAGGAAGATGTGGGAGAGGGGGCTTCCCCTTGGGATGGAGGGACCAAGCACCCTCCAGTGGAGCTGGGCTCTGTCAGATGGCTCCTCTCAGACATTGGTGGGCACCACTCTTCTGGCTCTGAGCTGGGGACAAAGAGGAAGGAGAGTAGCGACGAGTGAGTAGCTTCCATACCTTCCCCTTGGCCTCCTGTTGCCCTCTTCCCCTCCTTTCCCAGCACCTCTGCCCTCCCCCTGCAGGAGACCCTCGGGTGGTGCCATCCGTTCAGGGCACCTACAGCAGGACACATCCTTACCTGCCTTCCAGATCTTCCTCAGGCCCCTCTAGGCAGCTCAGTTCACAGGAAGAGGGAGGTGGTGGCAGGGCTTCCGGCCAGTTGAGAGAGGGCATCTGCACAGCTTTTCCCAGAAGCTTTACTTTGCCTCCCCTGGCTCCTGAGAAGGGTAGGATGGGGACACCCCGAGATAAGAGGTAGATGAGAAATGTCAGAAGTGTTGGGCTGAGTCTCAGAGGAGAAGGCTAGAGGATATTCTTTGGGAATACTCTGCTCAGAACTAAAATG